TTTGGTCGATGCTCACAATTGTGATATGAGAACGGCCCACAGTTGAAGTAGTCCGGTGAATAGTAGAACATGCAGCGCCTTATTACCTCCGACAGAGGCACAACGGCGGCAGTGAAAAGAGAACTTCACTTATCTCTCTTCTTGTCGAAGTGTGTCACACGGGGTCGCACGGGGAGCCTGCAACTTACTACCGATGCCGACAGGATCTCATTCTGAACCGTTGGCTCCTTGCAACCTATATCTCCTAACAACACATCATCGCACCTCACACAGCGGGCAGAGCTCAAGAAAATTCGCGAAAATTCTTCAATTGATAATTTTCCCGTTTCAAGGCGCAAAATATACCCCCCCCCCGCGCTTGACATCATTGCATGCATCTAACAGCACGTAGTCATAGTTCAATGGACATAATCCCGTTGACACTCGTGGAAAGAGTCCACGCACTGAGCCTCTAGTACTCGGCATTGTTGTGCTAACAAGGAAAGGATGGTTGGTCGAAGTGGCCATTTAAGACAAGATGCATACACACTGATGCGTCTTCGGACGCTGATTTCAAATCTGCTTTCCATATCTGCTAAACGATTCTCTGAGCAGAGATATGCAGGAGGTTGTTGTACGGAGCACAATTGAGCTTGGTACACAAATGAGACGTGAGTCGTCACACGAAGTGCATCGGTGGCCTAGTGGGTAGTGTGCCGCGCTCAAGTATGCGAGGTGAGAGGTTCGAATCCCTCCATGATTCGTCATTTTGCATTTTCTCAAAAATGCCTCCTGCACATCCGGAAAGCACTTCTGCGAGGCTAGGAGACCTGATTCTACCAAAAAATTTTATTTCTGATGTGATAGAGCCATTCTGGAACACTCCTAGTGGGAACTCCTGATTGTTGGTTTCGGCGGATACATGCTGGAAATGGGTGTGACCTGGTCAAAAATCCTGCATAACTTTGTCCAGGAAATCGTTTAGCAGATATGGAGGGCAGATTTGTAATCAGCGTCCAAGGGCCCATCGGGCAGTATACGTCTCATTTCGAATGGCCACTTCGACCAACCATCCTTTCCTTGTAAGAAATGTTGAGCAATATACTAAAGATGATCTAATATCTATCCTTGTCAGGTTACGTGTCACCCTTTATCGATGCCCCTATCGGCAAATCTTTTTAATTTGGTAGTGTGAGAGCTTCATCACCTTAAACAGCAGCAATAACTGTAACGCCCCTTATCATCCCTTATCACGTGTTATCGCTTTTTGTCACCCGCCGCTGTTGTCCCCGACTCACCCTCTATATCATTTGCTGAGAACAACGCCTATCTGATGCTGTGTCCCGCGTTATGGATGTAGTGGCCCCTGTGTCCTGTCCTATGCCCTGTGTCCTGTCGTGGAAAATAACGTCGCACTGTTGCTGTGACCCGCGCCTATGGACTCGGTGACCACCCCCCCCCCATTCTAACGATTCTCATCAAATCTTATCTGCTGATATCACTTCCTGTCACCCACCAATAGTGTTGACGTCACACCCTCTATATCATTTGTTAGAACCAAAATGTCACTGCCACAGGGACGGGCGCTGTGAATTTCGTGACCCACACAGGCATACTTAGCGGATTATATATAGTAGGACAGGATAGTGATTCCGGTGCATAGTGATTCGCCATTCTCGCTGCACAGCATTACAGAGCTGGCCGAAAAGCTGCTGACCACTGATATTAAAGATGCAATTAGTAGTAAATTCTAGCTTCAATCTCGAACAAGCCAGAGACCTTAGCAAGAAGTTTTGGATAAACAGAAACCTTTATTCTTTGGCTCAAACTATGGAACATAGTAGGGGTTCTACGCCTTTGATTCAGACTCGGGGGCGGGGAGAAAAACTGGATACCACTACATTCGGTGAAACTATAAACTATCCTACTTATATAATCCGCTATGTCCGTGTGTGTGCGTCTGTCTGTTTGTCACGAAATTCATAGCGCCGGTCCCAGTAGCAGTGAGACATTGGTTCCAAGAAGTGATGTAGGGGGTGGGAACACTATTGGTGGGTGACAGGAAGTGATATCAGTTGATAAGATCCGATAAGAGGCGTTAGAAGGCGGAGGTCACCATATTCATAACGCGGGTGACAGCATCAGCTAGCTCTTGATTCCAAGATATGATAAAGGGTATGGGCCAAGAACATTATTGGTGGGTGACAAGAACTGTAAGCTGCTGATAAGATTCGATAAGGGGCGTTAGAATGGTGAGGTCATCGTATTCACAGCGCAGGTCACAGCATCAGCGAGGCGTACGTCTCAGCAAGTGATATAGAGGGTGAGATGGGGACATGAATCGTGGGTGACTGGAAGCGATAACTACTGATAGAGACTGATAAGTGAAGTTGCAGTCGTCGTCGCTGTTCAAGGTGGTTCACGCTACCAAATCATAGAGATTTGGTGATGAGGACATTGATGACGGGTGACAGGTAATCTTATCAATCGATAAAAACAGATAAGATACCATCTGCGCTACATTTTTATCACTTCTTACCGCTTTAATGCCGAGTATTAGAGGCTCAGTGTGTGAACCTTTCCTTTGATGGCAACAGAATCAAGGTCGTCCAATGAAGTGTTTGCTTTTAGATGCATGCAATGTGTCGAGCGGGGGGGGGGGTATATAGTGCGGCTGAAACGGGAAAATCGAGAAATTCATCAATCAAAAAAATTTTCGCAAATCTGCCTGCTATGTGATGTGTTAGGAGGTGGCGGTCGCAATGAAGCAAAATAAGGAGGGAACCCAACAATTGGGAGTGAGCGTCCTGTCGGTGGTCATTCGAGCTCTCCGTGTCCGCGCGACACAAACTTTTATATGTACAAGCAATGTGGAGTTCTCCTTTTCAGTGCCACCCATTACTCTGCAGTTATGCCTCTTCCGGTTGTTAAGGACTCATCCGGACTAATTCAACTTTACCCATTCTGTTGTCGCAACTGCGGTCCTTAAGTATATGGTGCGGCCTTCTCACGGCTGAATGTGTTTACAAGAAGGACCAGATTTTGGTAGATGAGACTGATGTTGAGCTATTTTCAACTCACCTTCCTCCATTTCAATAAACAATTGCTGTCATCATTTTGCACACTTAGCGGATTTTGGCCGTGTAACAGAAGGAGGAGCATCCGGCGGCAGCCGGGTGATCCGACTGGTAAACTATGAGTGAATTATCCCCACTTTTCCCTGCAGCTCGAGCTGCGCTTATGTATATTTTGTGAACAGCGTTTTGCAGTTTCTACTTTTAGCACATGCTTCAAGTATTCCGAAGAACAAGCAAGAATCTTCCTGTTCCTTGTGATCAATCCTACAACTGGGAAGAAACAGTCTGTCTGAATCTTATTCTACAGCAAGTAAGTTTCAGTGTTTCTTCCTTATTTATTTTGCCCATGTGCTGAGAAATTACAGTAGCGGAAAAAAAAACCTAGAACAAGCTTCGAAAGGTATCCTTATCCATTTAAACATAATTAATCTCTTCTTACACATAAATTTCAGGAGCAATAGCTACGAATGTAATGTAATAGCACAATATTACGCTGGAAGGGAAGTCCTGTCAGTGTTTTTTGAATAGCTTACAGCTTTCGATTCTTGATGCCTTAACATGGCGTAACATGCTGTGCTTGTAGAACACTCTCGAAACTTCCCCGCAAGAGGTATACAGTTTCACAGGAGCATCTTCGACTCATCATCTTCTGTGAAAGTCTCCGCGGCGCTGGAGCGACGACAGCTGTCCGCAACATCAACACTACATTATGGGAGGGTACCACTACCATCTAGTCTGTACAGGGCTTGTTCTCTCATTTCACGAAGGGCGACACGATCTTTGAAGGCGAACCTCGGTCGGGGCGCCCCTAAGTAGAAGACTCCAACTTTTCGCGACTGTCAAGGAGGATTCGGAGGCCACCACAAGCAGACTTGCAATAAGACTCGGGTGTACCTGACAGTCGTCAACCGCCTGGAAGCCCTCGGCTATCCGAAACTGCTGGCATGGTGGATCCGTCATACCTTGACGATTGACACACGATACACTTGCTTCGAGAGACCACGTTCCTGATGACGCGAGACCCCATACTGCTATGGGGACCACCAACTAATTGACGAGCACGGCTGGGAGACTATACCTCCCTCACCATATTCTCCTGACATAGGCTCCTACTGCTACCTGCTCCGCCCCCTTAACGCTTTTTCCAACTAGGAAAACTCAGTAGGTTTGACTACACCAGTCGAGAGGTCGCCGACTTGTTTGACTTGCAGTCTACTCACTAGATCGCTGACCTTCCCATTAGATGGTGCACTAGTGGCTAACAGTGGCGAGAAATGGATCGTTGACCTTCCCATTAGATGGAGTGCTAGTGGCTAGCAGTGGCGAGTATTCTGTCGATTATTTCTATTTTATGTTGAGCTAGAAAATAAAATAGATGAAATCACAGCCGAAACAAGACCTTCTTCCCAGCCTAATATAAATTTTGGGTGAGCAGAGATAGTGTAGTGGCAAGTGAAGCTACTTACCGCGCGTGATCTCGGGATTAGATCATGGATCGGTTCTCGCCCGAGCCAATCAATCATTCCATGCTCGCGGAGAGGCTATTTTGTAGTGACTCGTCTGGGAGGACGGAATCATCGATTTCTACATTCACTGTCCCCATCCCTGTTCACAAGTCACTACAACTGTAGGCGGAATATGTGCGGCATCGTGAGAAAAGTGATTGATCGACGGTGAAAGCTTTATTTTTCGAGCTTTTTGATGCAGTAATGCTTCGCAACGTTCTGCCACCACTCACAGTGCTGGGATTTTCTTCTTCTTACGCTGCAACATGGTCGGCTGTTATGTATTAGCCCCACTTGGCCATCGAAGGGGATCAGATCTTTCTGGATGTTCAGTTTCTGAGTTTGAAAAACATTCACGGGAAGCTTCTTGCCAATCTTACACAAGGGACTACCGTCAGACACTGGCGATCCATTTGGCAACAGTTTTCTGTATTTTTAGTTGGACTTCTACGTGACGTGTGCTGTTTGTACTAAGACAACTCCACAAAATCTGCAAATTATTCGCAAGAACTGTCAAAAGGTAGAGTATTCAGTTGGACATGTTTTTTGCTTTATAACTGGACAATAGACAATGTCTTTGCTTCTTCCTAGGTTTACGCATCTCCCAGCAGGAGGAGCATGGATAATAAAGGTCTAAGCGAAGAGATTACATACCCAAAACTCTACTTTGCTGTCGATGCTTTCGAAGAGGTTCGTTTTCACTTTTGCTCAATACCAGAATATCAAACGCTTCAAGAAGATTATTCCATCAAAAACAGCACTGGCAGAAACACGATTATCTACTACTGCCATTTAGTAGTTACCATAAATGGTAAGAAAAGTACTATGGGTTAAGGAAAGTACTATGGGACTTTCCGATAGTAATCATAAAAGTACTATGGGTGGACTTTCCGATAGTAATCATAGAGGGGAATCACATGAATACTCCGATTGAATTGCACTTATTAGAATCACTGGACGCAGCATTCCTAGCTGATCCCCACCCAGGCGAGTGTACGAATCTTCGGAAATTTGAGACTTCACAGTGTGAGACCTTATATGCACGTGGCGACGTGGCCAGGACGGTGTTGCGAATAGCGCCGCATACGGGGAAGGACCTGACGTGGTAGTGCAACATTTCCACAGAACTAGCTGGCTTTGCGACGACGCGCTGTAATGCACTGTAACGCCCGTCGACGCGCTGCAATCACAACTGCGCTCCAATGCTACTTTTTCAGACTACACAGAAAGCACAAAGCACAAAGTGATGGGGCACAAAGTACTCTGTGTTGACGTATACGGCCTGAGACATGAGGATCCTACCTGCAAATCTCTGCCTTATGCACCTAAACAAAACTTTTTACTTTGAAGGCACTTGGCACGATAATTTGTACTCAGCCTAAAATGCTAGCAGGGCGCTATATAGTGGGGAAATGGCGAAAGAACGGAGTGAAACGGTCAAAATCCTGCGAAGAAAAAGCCTTCGTTCTCAATGACTCAAAAATCAATTTTGGACGAGTTTCCCATAGGCATCTTGCCAATAACCGCTACGGTAGATGCCTTTGTGCGCTCATATATCCATGCAGCACCGCGCTTCATACCAATCCCTTCGCTTCATAATTTGCTTAGCAAATGAATCAATACGAGCGTCAGGAACGGTCGTCCATTTGTGGGCGGGCGGGCGTGGTGGGCGTTCGGGTCGGTATGTTGTAGCTTGATAGGGCCCTTATAAGGGTACCTTCCTTGGAAAGGGCGCTGCGCAGCGCCTTCTCAGGGGCGCGGAATTCCGTCCTGCCAGGCGTATTAATCCTACTCGTCTTTAGGGATTTATCGTGCCAACTGCCTTTAACTAATAGGCAAGTGGTGCTGCATTAACGTCTGGATAGCCTTATTAGGGAAGTCTGCCATCTAACCAAGGAACTTTCGAATGGAGACCTGGGTAGATCGATAGAGTCTGTAATGCTATTTACAAATATAGATAGCAAAACTGCAACCTGCATTTCTCACGTGACTTATGAGAAGATAAAGTTAATAGTGCAGCGCTGTGTAGAGTTGGTGGTAAGGTACGACGGATAAACGAGGAATCGGGTGGGCCACAATGAGTTGGGGTCGTTCAAGGATAAGGCTTTTGCCTCACGAGCACAGCATGACGGTTCGGTTTTTATGAGTGACGAAATTCTCGCTTCCTTCCTAATTTATGAATTTTACCTGATTTTTCGACCTGCGTACGGATCAACAACTGGCCATATTTACGTTCTTCGCGTTTATTTACTGCGGTTCTATTTATGTGTGATTTCACAAGAATGCTGAGATATGGGCAAAAGTCGGACCACGGACGGACTCCGTCCGTGTCCACTTGCCCATATCTCAGCATTCTTGTGATAGCTTTCAGATCGCGCACTGCGGCGTTAAACAGCAGTTACTAAACAATAACAGTATGTGTGATTTATTTTTATTAAGAACATTCAGTGTATCGGCAATGCCTTTCAAACTTTACCAGTGCTTCAGCTCCGATGATACGATATGAAAATGCGTGAAGCAGATATGCTGCTCAAACTGCGCATCTTATAGGATTCTGTTCATCTACAACCATTGATGAAACATTCAGTCGTCTCAAGATTGAACAAATAGTCAATAGAAATAGATCAAGAACTGGACCGGCGCTCTTGAGCAGTATTGCACCACGCTACCTACCTTCGTCTGCGGCTTCTTACCGTTAATGGTGTCGTATCACGAAAGCGCGACCATGAGTCTGCGGTTAGGTGATTCAAAACGAGATATGGATATATCTGATCTCTCATCACTGCTGACGTACCAAGGTAAACTATGCTATCAATTTCAGCATTGTTTAAACAGCCTTCGTTGACATCGTCGCAGTGTTTCTAATCAGACTGATTCCAAGCTTCTTCCGGTTCCTACTTCAACTCCACCTGCGATCCCGTTTCCTCTCCTTCCGAACTGCAGCGTCGTTGTATTTCGGCCATCCTTATCTGCCAGGATTGTTTGAACATTTTTTCCTGGGGAGAAATGCATGGATGAAATATAAATCAATGAACAGCGGCAGGTATCAATTTGATCTGCCATGAGTTGTAGCTACGTCGCCATGTATTCGTGGTGTGGGTAGAAAAAACAGGTAAAATTCATAAGTTATTGAGGAAGCAAAAATTTCCTCACTCACGGAAACCGAACCGTCATGCTGTGCCTGTGAGGCGAGAGCCTTACCGTTTAGCCACCACAACTCATTCTTGCCTACCACCGGTTCTTCGCTTATCCTTCACAACTAGCCGCCACTCCACTGTACCATTACAAACTTTACCTGCTAAGTCATTGAGAAATGCAGGTAGCAGTTTTGATCTCTATATTTCTGAATAGCATTGGAGACTCTATCGATCTACCTAGATCTAAACCCAAACTTCCACAGTAATTTGGCGGATTTCCATGGCAAGTGTTGCATGGGGGCGAAAAACAGCGATTGCCTTCCATAATCTTGTGCGATGATGCTTAAATTTCCTGGATGAAAATCTAGTGTGAGGCAGTTTCATTGGTGAAATAGTTCGTTGATTTACGAGCGTAGCCTTCCTGTGGAATACTGCCGTATGTATAGGTACAGGTGTTTGGCGTAGTTTCTTTAACAGTTTGTCATAAATTCTTTTGCGACTCACTCGGCGGGAAATCCGCGCTCTGTGCCTGGACACAAGCGATGGCAGTACCCCATGTGTATTGCCACCGTGGCTCTATCTCACATGTCTTCGAGGGGGAACCAGATGTTGAGGAACTTTCCTTTCTTTGAGCTTGGGCTTCTTTGAGCTCCCTCCGAAGCAAAGCAGGTTATGCACGTGATTAGCATATTGTTTTACCAGTGGAACTGCATCATCTGTAAACAGAGACGAAACGCATCCTACCCATCCTACCCGAAATTGATTGTTTTCCACAGCATGTGCCGCTTTTCAAGAAAGACATCCAAGAAAGACAGATGCCTAACATTCTGCGTGGGAGGGCTAGCTGGAAGACGACATAGACTACAAGCGTTGTCACTGCTCTTGAAACTTGCACATATGACCCCGGTTTGTGTTATGAAGGGCGCTCAAAGAACGGAATGTTCCCAAAGACCTGATCTGTCTTATGATGGGCATGTGCTGCATTGATGCGTAATTATTGCGGCTTTTTGCATCTTTTTTGTTAAGAAAGGAATTTTGTTTATTATTTTTTTCCATAAAATAATCTTTTTTTACATAAAATAATCTTTTCTATCTCATTAAAAGAAATACGTATCGGAAATCATCTTCATTCGTTCGTCACCTTATTGCCAGTGCGAGAAAAGTTGGAAGAGAATAGAATCATTTCGCGATCTCAGCAAATTTTTCGGCGAGGGAACAGTCAGCAACAGCGAAGTTTCAAGATGATTCAAGAGGTTACAAACAGGCGAAGCAAACATTTCAGAAAAGCAAGGAAGAGGAAGACCATTGGAGTTCAATGATCAGAACCTTATGGCGGCGTGGAAAAAGACGAAAGGAAAAGCGGGATCATTCACCAGGAAATCATCCCAAACTGCATTTGCTACTGGGATGACAATGATGAAGGCCAACAGCGGCGAATCCCGACCAGAAATGGTTTCTGAATGTTTGTTCTTTTGTGCGGGAAGTCGGCTCTACCTGAAGAACGACCTGGAGATGTCGGATCGAGGTTGGGTTGTGTAGGGCATGCGTCAAAACGTCAAAACCGCACGTAGCTTTTGATAAGCCCCGCCCACAGCGGGCGGAGCATGCGCTGAAAATTGGCGATGTCACTGAAAAATTTATAGTTCGTTTCTGGGCAGCCTTGAGACGGGGAAGAAGTGAAATAAGGTCAGCAAAGGGCTGGCGGACCAAATGGTGGAGACCCTTGGGTTGGGTGTTGCTTCCCACAAAATCCAGTAACTCGGTTCTCGAAAGAGTTAGAGGTCAAAAGTCCATGGCGAAAGGAAATCTGGCGAGGGTGGAGCATATCTGCTATGCAATGAGACCCACCCACAGTGGGCGGGGCGTGCTCTCACACGAGGTTCTCATTTCAAAAAATTGTAGCCTACCAGGGAAGGCCGCCAACTTACCATGGAACTTTGAAAGGAGACCTAGGTGGATTGATAGAGTCTATAAGGCTATTAACAAATATAGATAGCAAAACTGCAACGTGCATTCCACAAGGAAGTTATGAGCAGGTAAAGTTTGTAATGGTGTAGTCGGGTGGAGGCTCGGTGGTAGCAGCTGCGAAGGATAACCGAGGAATTGCTTCACAGCAGATCGAGTCGCGGTGGTTCAGTGGTAAGGTTCTCGCTTCAAAGTCACATCATGCTGGATTCGATTCCCGGAAGCGCTCAAGTTCTTGCATTCCTATTTCTACCTAATTTTTTGACTTGCGTACGAGTTAACACCTGGCCATCGT